GTGGTAGAAGTGTCGCCGTAGTAGTAGTAGTAGTCGTAGTCGTAGTAGTAGAGTAGTAGTAGTAGTAGTAGTAGTCGTAGTAGTGTAGTAGTAGTAGTAGTAGTAGTAGTAGTAGTAGTAGTAGTAGTAGTAGTAGTAGTTATAGTTAGTAGTTAGTAGTAGTAGTAGTAGTAGTAGTAGTAGTAGTAGTAGGAGTAGTAGTAGTAGTAGTGGTAGTAGTAGTAGTCGTCGTAGTAGTAGTAGTAGTAGTAGTAGTAGTAGTCGTAGCAATAGTAGTAGTAGTAGTAGTAGTAGTAGTATTTCTACTAGTAGTAGTCGTAGTAGTAGTCGTAGTAGAAGTCGTAGTCGTAGTAGTAGTAGTAGTAGTAGTAGTAGTAGTAGTAGTCGTAGTAGTAGTAGTAGTAGTCGTAGTCGTAGTAGTAGTAGTAGTAGTAGTAGTAGTAGTAGTAGTAGTAGTAGTAGTAGTATAGTAGTCGTAGTAGTAGTAGTAGTAGTAGTAGTAGTAGTAGTAGTAGTAGTAGTAGTAGTAGTAGTAGTAGTAGTAGTAGTAGTAGTAGTAGTAGTAGTAGGAGGAGGAGGAGGAGGAGGAAGAGGAGGAGGAGGAGGAGGGAGGAGGAGGAGAGGACCAGGAGGACAAAGGGGGACAAGGAGGTGGAGGATACCTTGGTCGAGCTCCTAGACCTTGACATAACGAACCGCCTTCGGTCCATCAACCACCGTACGTGGGCCCAGGGTGAGGCCACACGGATGTCTGATGGGGGGGCTCGATATGTCCGTGCGGGTTCCCCCCGTGGCTTCCCTCTCTGGGTTATTGTGGGGGCGTTTTGAGCCGTCTTGAATGCCTCTTGGGCCGTCTTGGGGCCCCTCTTGGGTCGTCTTGGACCTCTTTCGGGACCCTCTTGGGCCGTCTTGGGGCGATCTTGGGGGCCTCTTGGGCAGTCATGGACGCTGCGAAAGCCCAAGAGGCGAACATGCTGAAAATACACGTTTTCCGATATGGAATGGAGCTACTTTTGCCTCTTTGGGCCCCCGTGTGAGGCTTCTTGGGAGGCTTCCTGGAGACCTTTTGGGGCATCTTCGAGGCATCTTGAGTTGTCTGGAGGCTTTCGTGCGTTGGCAAATCGGGGTTCTCTTGGACCATCATAGGGGCCTCTCGGGGCCTTCTTAACCCATTTGGGGGCCCTGGGGTCCGCGGAGAAGGATACACTAGGCCCCAAGCCCCAAGTCAAATCGGAAATTTGTCTTCCAGTTTTGCTCCGCGAGAACTTCTTATCTCTCAGTGGGCCCAGGGACCCCTGTGGCCCCTTGCGAAACTCAAGGTCAACGAGGGATGTGCCCCTGTATCTCTTATCGCAAGATTTCGCACCGTCCGTATGAAGAATCCAAGGTATGAACGAAACCTATCCACCAGTGGTTGAGTTGGAAGTTCACCAGAGGGACATCAATCTACTCGTATGTTTTGCGGCAACCATTCCCCGAGAAAGCCTTGGCGTTGGACCTTCCAGTAGGTTTTTATAGCGAGTAGCTTGACGCGCATGGCCAGAGGCTGAACAGTGACCCGTGAAAGGTCATTTGCATCTATGTGTGTGTGCAGCTGGGAAACGTGTGCGACTGCATGGTGCCAGGAATATGTTATTGTTATGATTGTTAGACTACCTTAGATTGGTGGGATGTCGACGTTTCATCGCGGGGCAGTAACGCCCTCTACCCCAAGCTACCTGTCCGGTATGGAAAGCTGTCAGAGAAGAAAGGTGGTGGGAAAGCCACGCGTTGGTAAGGGAGCCACTTGGAAGCCAGGGAGTTCGTGAGGGCATGAGGGAGCGGACAGACAAGGGGACGGGGAGAGTGCAGGGAGAGTGCAGGGAGGCGAGAGGGCGGCAACAGGGGATGCCGCCCAGTGCTAGGGCAGAGCGGTCTTTTTACGAACACAACCGACACGCACTAGGGGGCAACGAGGACAGACAGGGAGGCGTTCTTCATATCAAGCCGCTTGTCCATTTTTAGAGTTGGGGTGCTGCCCACTTGCAAGTCCTTCCCATGGATGCCCAGACCCTCTACCATCTGCAACGGCATCCGCCTCCTCCTTGCCCCCCTCCGCCCGCATTGAGGCCCACCCGCCACGCCGCATCAGGGTCCGCCTGCCGGCGTGCCCGCATTCGCGCCGGCCCGTCCACCTGCCCGTGTAAGCGTGTGCCCACCCAACCGCAGATCCCGGGTAGGGTCCACCCGCAGGCATCCACCCATTCCCAGATTTGCTACAATTCCCCACATCATGTAACGAGAGGAGAGCGCCCAAATCAGATTCGACCAAAGATGAATTGGGAGGATATCGTTTGTTCGGGGAGGGAATTTGTAAAACAGGTGACCAGTCCGAGCAACCTTTCTTACCCAATGTGTTTTTTTGTGTTTCTGTATTTGTTCTGATGTCGGCTCGAGTCTGTTAGCTCAGACAGCAGGCCTATGATATCGGTGGCTTCACCATCTGTAGGCGGACTGTGCGATGCACAGGCTGCTGGGGAGCGTGGCGCCGCCCATTCTGCGATCATCAGCGCGACCAGAGCTGCTGAGGAGCGCTCAGGCACAGGGTATTTCTGTCCATAGCTGGTTCGCAAAGCTCGTTTAGAACAGTCTCCATGCCCTGTGGTTTTCAGCACGTGTTCCTCCTAACCAGCGAATCATGTAAGGATTCCTTCCCACTGGGTGTTGCATCATGCAGTCGCGTCTTCTTAGTAAGTCGACCGTGCAAAATAAAGGGCACCCTTGTTTCCTGTCTACGGTCGGGAACTTTGGGATAGCGTTTCGCTCTGTTGGTTCTGGCCCATCACGTTGCGGCGCGACACGCCGTCCACTTCCCTGTTCTCACCCGTCACCGTCCCCAGCCTTTCCGAGCTTCCCGCTTTCCCGGGCGGAGCAGCACGCTGTCCGCATGCTGTCGCACACGCTGAGCAAAGGTTACCGACCGTATTGCGTTTCATGTGCTCTTCATGTCTGGAGCACATGATGCCCTTAAAGCAGACTTGAGCCCTCTCTTGCGTAATGTGCAATCGATCCCGACTGGACAGGGCGACAGGGCCGTCTATGGCGCCACGTGTGCAATGGCACACCCATTGAGGTAGCGAGCAAGGTGGTCAATTGTTCAGTGCATGGCGCAACCTGCCGCGCAATCTACGGCGCGACCCCTGGCACGATGATGCACCTACTTAGACAACTGATGAGTTGGATTATATTGGGGAGTCTGGCGCAACCTGTGGGACCATGACGTAAGCTATGACCCAACCTGTGGCTCACCCACTGAGGCAACAGACGAGGTGGCCGATCGTTGGGTGTCAGGTGCAACCCATTCTGCACATATGTCGAACGATTTAGCTGTTTGCAGTGAACACAGTCACCGTGCCAGGGAGGCATCAGTGAGGTTGAGTTTAAACCCCGCTCCAGTTCAGTTCCCTATCTGAGCTGGCGCGGGTCTTGAGTGTCACCTCCTTGGCCGCAGCCTCGTTCTTTTTTTCTTCGTCCTTGCTCCTCCATCTTTCTCCATCCTTGTCCTTCCCTATACCCCGCCCTCACGAAGGCATCTTGGAGGCGTCTTCGGTGCATTTGTCCGGCTTGTTGGGAGCCTCTTTTGGCCATCTTCGGGGATTGTTGGGGGCTTGTTGGGAGCCTGCGGGGGGTCTCGGGGCGGTCTTGGGGACGTCTCGGCGGGTCATGGAACCCTTTCGGAGATCTCATGGGTTCGGGGCCGTCAGGGGGGCTCACTCGTGGGGTAGTGTTGGGCCGTCTTCGGAGCTGCTGGGGCTCTCTGAAGCTCTCCCAGGCGAGTCGAAGCCGAATAGTGTGCTCGAGCCGTCTTGGAACCAAAAAGGGCGCTGGAGAGCCAACCACGGAGGCCGACCCTTTTACCCCCGCTGTTGCGAGAGGGTTGCCGAACAGCCAGCAAACATTCTACCACGCCCAATGGGCCGCTTGCACTGTGGCGGACATGGTCGACAGAGTACAGTGGGGGCGCGCATCAAGAAACCAGATGCTTTTCGTCAGGGTATCCTGGGTTTCTTCGCTCCGCGCGCTGCGCGGTGACTTCTCGCAGCCGTTGAAGAAGCTGCTGCGCTCAGGGTGCTCCGGGTGTCCCCTCAGGTGCATCTCGCGCGCGGGGTTTTCAGGGTTGGGTTTCTTGCGAGGGTCTCTTGCGGCCGCGCCCGCACTGCAGGGTGGGTGCAGCCACTGAGGCAACGGGCTGCTTGAAGGAGCGCGGGGAGTGTTCGCGTAACCTATGCCGCAGTGCACTACGGAGAGAGCGGGGCGCAGCCACACAGGCCACAGACGATTTGGTGGATCGCGGGCTGCCCGAAAACAACTTATGGCACAGTCGAAGACACACCCGAAGAAACAACCGTCGATTCGGCTGCCCAAACGGCGTCTGTGTCAACCTGTGGCGCAACTTTTGGTATAATCCATGGCCGACGCGCTGGGGCACTGGACGATTTGGTCTCCCACGGGGTGTCCAGCACGACTCACGGTGCGTTCCAGAGAGGGCCTCGTCGAGGGATCGAGGAGTTGACACCTTTTTCTTGGCGGGGGGAGGCGGAAGGCCAGCGGAAGCCCACGGAAGTAAATCGGTTGCGCCTCCGTTGGCGGGAACCGGCAGAATGTTAGCCGCCTAAATTGAACGTAATTTCCCCAAATCATGCCAACATATTTGTACTCAGAGTTTCTGCAAACCGAGAATGTGGCGTATCCCATGGCACAGCCGCTAAGGGAAACGGAGGATTCTGTCGCCCACGGGGTGTCTGGCGCAAAATATGGCGCCCCGTATGGCCCAGCACATTGCAGATACAGTTTAGGGTTTTTTGGCGAGTGGAGTTGCGTTTCTCGACGAGCAGAAAATTGCATAAACATATTTCCTCGGAGGGCCGCGCTGATTTCTTGGTCGGGTCGGCGTTGGCCCCACGGCGGCCGGCGCGGCCCCTGGCGCGGCCCCTGGCGTGCTCCGCGCGCCAGGGAGGGTGGTCGTGCGCCGATCCAAGAAGTCCGCGTGGACCTCAGAGAAGCTATGTTTATGTTTTTTTGTTGACCCACTAGTTTTTGCAATTTCGGGGCAACTGGTCTCAGTTCAAGGAAGTTTGGAACCGCCGTGGACAGGGAACCTCCCGGGAGGCAAGCAACCTATGCAATCTTGGTAGACGGCCGCGGCACGACAGGGGCCTCGCCATGCAGACAATATCTGAGGATAGGCTTCAGGAGTTTCTGCAGGCCGAGGTCAAGTTCTTTGCCCGCCAGGAGACAACGTCCATTAGCATCTCCGAGATCTTGCAAAAATCGGAACCTGAAAACGCAGCAGACATGTGTCACGCAGAGCTCCCAATACGATTTGCGCAGAGAATCTTGCAGATTGAGGACATACCGACGTGGAAGTCTTGTCCAGAGCTCGTTGAGGTGCACAAGCTCTATAGCCATACTTTCCGCGACCTCCGACTACAGGATTTGAATTTCAACAATATGGACCCTTTCACGGAGATGATTCAGACGCTCAAAGAGCGTATGAAAGGGGTAATTCCCAACCTTGCCATGGGGATGCGCCGGTTGAAGATGGAGGAGGGCTGGACAGAGGCCCAGATCACAGAGTGGTTGGATACATTCTTATTGTCTCGAATTGGCACTGAGATGCTCACATCGCAGTACATTGCATGCACGACTGCAAATATCAAGACGAAAAAGAATCGTAAAGGAATAGTGGACCAGGTCTGTGACCCTGCATCAATTTGCGAGCAGGCTGCCAAGCAGACTAAGAAAGTTGCCAGGCAGCACTTCAAGAATATAGACCGAGAACCTCTCATCATCGTTGAGCATATGCATTCAGATTCCCGTGTGAAGTTTCCGTACGTGCCACAATACCTCTTCTACATAATGGTTGAGCTGCTGAAGAACAGTGCGCGCGCCACAGTGGACACCGCCCTGAAAGAGGGCGGCAGGTGTCAGCCACCAGTAAAGGGGGGCCTGACCAGGGGGGGGCAACCTTCGAAGAAGGAAGGGGGCTTCTCAGAAGAGGGAGGCTTCTCAAAGCAACATGCCCCCCCCTCCACGCCTTGCAAGAGGCGGGGGCCCTCTCAGAAGGATGCCCACCCCATTGCTTTGCTTACTTCTGCCCGCCGCCAAAGGTTGGAGGACCGACCGATCGTAATCAGCGTTGGGGCCGACAACAGACAGATTGCCATCCGGGTGCACGATAAGGCGGGCGGTATCCCTTTCAACGTGGCGGACAACGTCTGGTCCTACATGTATTCCACGGCCACGAAAGGCGTGGACACTGAGGACTCCGCCCTCCTCCCTCCTTCTTCCTTCCCTCTCCCTCCTTCCTGCCCCCTCGTGCCGAGGACTTCTCCTCCCAGGGCACCCCGCTGGCTGGCTACGGTGTGGGCCTGCCGCTCAGCCGGCTCTACGCCAGGTGTTCACGGGCTGAATCTCGGGGACGGCCTCAACCCCCCCACCACCACCTTGCAAGCCGCAAAGCTGGCCAGGCCGATCCTGGACCCAGGATCGGCATGTGCGTGTGCCTCCCTGGCCAATCCAGGGGGTCCCCAACGGGCGCAGTGACGCGCAGACCCTTCTCTTGCAAGTCCATGACTACTCGTGCGGGCGTCTGGTGATGATGGTGCTAGGACAGGATCGGGTGACATCCTTGTCAGGCAGTGATGATGGCGACGATGATGATGACGCTTGCGATGCTGATGGCGATGATGAGGAAGAGGATAACGGGGACGTGCGCACGCGCGCGTGGCGAACACCTGAAATAGTATTACTGAGAAGCGACTAGGGGTTCACATGCGTCAGCAACCATTGTTTTTTATCTGTTCGACTTGCGCGCGCGGGGGCGCGCGCGCGGGCGACCCACTCAGATCCCAAAAAGCTCCAGAGTCTTCGAAGGCCGCCCACGATTGCTTCCGACTGGCCTTCGAGGCCCCCGAAAGCGCCCCACGAGAACTTCAAGACAGCTCCAGATACCGTCGCGACAGCCCAAGAGTCGCCCCAGGAACCACAAGAGGCTCTTGAGAGACCCCTCGAGAAGGCCTCCAGGGGTCCAAATCGTCCAGATCCCTGAGGGCAACGTGCATTTTGAGCATATTCCCTTGTTGTTTTTTCTTTCAGTTTTCACAGCGCCCAAGACATCCCCAAAGGCCCCGAAGATCGGCCCAATAAGCCCAACAGGCCCCCACGAGGGCGCCAAGACGGCCCAAAGAGGGCCCCAAGACAACCCAGGAGGCGCCCAACACGGTCCAAGACGGCCCCAAGATCGGCTCCAGTGTCTTTTGCGGTTTTCTTGGGCCAGCCCTTCAGGGCGTTGGCAGTCCGCAGCCCAAAAAGTGCCAATTTTGGCGTCCAAGGCCCTTGCGTCCTGACCGCCCGTCCTGACTATAGTTTTCGACTGTACACCCACCCCACCACCAGGGTGGGTGGTGAGCCTCACCATCTTTGCGGCTCTGTCCGCCCTGGAGGTACCTCGGCGGATCGCTGCACCTCATGTCCATGCCCGGAGTTGGGACCAGCGCCTACCTGTAACCTCCCCTCCTCCTCCCTCTTCCTCTCCCTCTCCTTTTCTTTATCCCTCTCTCTCTTGCAATTCTTGGCTCCCTCTCTCTTTCCTTACGGCCCAGGATGTTTGCTTAGCGTGTCACGGCGCTTGTTCTGGCCCACCACGCTTCGCCGCGACACGCTGGCATCAACGTCTCGAGCCTTTCCCACCCTACCGCCCCGCGGAGCGGAGCGCCACGCTGTCCACCTGCAAGGCAAACCGCGTCGCCAGGGCCGCGGCCGCGTCACGCTGAGCAATGATTCTCGACCGTATCTTCCTTCTCGTCTTTCCCATCCGACTGAGTAGCCTTGCTATTCCACGCGTGTGATCAAGATTTTGACGGGGGGTACCGAACCCAAACAGAAGCCAGGCCTGGCATTCTTGGCCGCACGGGCTGGGAGCTCATGGGACATCCAGGCCGGTTGGGTCAATAGCCACATAGGGGTAGATCATCGCGATGAGCGCAGCGACTGAGCTGCGAGATGCGGGGGTGGTAGGAACCTGCGCGCGGAGTCGTGGGCCTGGCCAATCTGACCACCTGTTCGGCTGTGTGGGGGGCTGTGTTCTGGGACAGCTCGGGCTGCCTGCGGCGACAGCCGCCGCCGTGGAAGGGCAGCAGCACGTCAGGAACGAGGTTGAGTCTACGACCCGATCCAGTCCGGGGCCCTCTCCAAACTGGCGCGGGTCTGAGACATCCCCTCCTCGGCCGCTGCTTCGTTCTCCTGCCTCTCCCTTCTCGCTCTGGTCTTCTCCTCGTCACTCCCCTCTTCCTCCTGTAAACCCTTTTGCAACTTGGGTGGCCTGTTTGGGGCCGTCGTAGGGGGCTCTGGGACAGTCTGGCGCTTTCGGAGGGCGTATAGGGGGGCCTCTCTGGGCACTCTTGTGAGCTCTGCAGGGCCGTCGTGGGGGTTGGGCCGCCTATGGGCCTCTTTTGTACCGTCTTGGGGCCGTCTTCGATGCCTCTTGGGCCATCTTGAGCTGTCTTTGAGCCCTGTTGGGGTTTTCTTAGGGCATCTTGGGGGAGTACTTGAGAACTGTCCGGCCGTACGGATGCCAGAAAAAGATGAGAGCGCCAAACTGATTCAAAACCCGATGCGACATCAACAGCGCTGATCTTTTCGGAGCCCTACTGGGAGTCCTCCTGGAGCCCTCGTGGGACACCTTGGGGACCTTTCAATGTCGTCTTGAGGCTATCGTGGGCCTTCCTGGGGCGATCTTCAGATCGGGCCATCTTGGCGGCATTCCTGGCCTGCATCGGCTGACTGAAAGTCATCTTGGACATCATCGACGCCTTGGAGAGAGGGCGGGTATGCGACGAGGCGCTGGATGAAGGGGGTGGGCCCTAGAGTATTCAAAGAAATCCTACCAGTCAGCACTTGGCATTATACCACGCCTCAACGTCGAAGTGGGCGCGGTGGTGGATTTAAAGCGTTCGTTCCCATGTCCAGGGCATGTGGCGCGGCTCTGGGACCACGGGCCCGACCAGATCACGTCCTCTCTTATGCAGCACACGAGTTGCATCATGATCCCCAACGCAGCGCTCCGATGCGGGGGCAGCCAGATCTGTTGCCGAGGGGTCCGTGCCTGGCAACGGGGGCTCAATGCCGACATTCTTGTCAGCGCATCGGAGAGGCATGCTGTAGCTCTATGCAGTCCGTATTGCTGTGAGCGGCAAAATGTCTCCCCCCATCGAAAGTCGATGGCAGGCAATGGCGCACATGTCGGTGAATTGCGACGGGACAGTGGCAGTATCGAGTAGTTGTTTGGTGTTGCTCTCGGGTAGGACCACGGTAAACTTGAACCATGAACATCTCATGACCCCATTTCCCCTTCTCGTCTTTCCGTTCCTCCTCCTCCTTTCCACGTCGCCCACTTTCTCCACGCAGTGCCTTCCGAAAAGGTACCTCAAGCGGCTCGAGGAGGATGCCAAGGAGCAGTTGCCGACCTCTGTGGGCGGGTTAGAAAGATGCTGCGCTCACCGAGTCAATCGCTCACGCTTCCATGCACGAGACTCTCTCTTCCCCTCCTCCTTCTTCCTGCTCCTCGTCGCCGCCTTCGTCCTGCCTGTCCCCATCCCCTCTTCTCTTTTTCCTGCCCCATTCACGTTTTCCTCCGCGTGGCCTTCCTTCCCCGCGTTTACCATCCTCCTCCTCGTCCTCCTTCTCAGCTGTTCCCTTCTAATCCTCCTCCTCCTCCTCCTCCGCCTCTTCCTCAACCGCCTCCTCCCCATCCCTTCCCCCCCCTGCGTTATCGTACGCGTCTTCTTCGTATCGTCTGGTTACGATGTCCTGCCCTCGTCTTTCTGTTCCTTCGTGTCGTCGCCGTCGTCCTTCTTTGTCTCGTGGTCATCGTCCTCCGCCCATTATAAACGCTTCGCGTAACCCCACCAGCCCATTCAGAAACGATGCCCAGGCGAGTTCCCCTCATCAGGGATGCGGAGGAGCATGCCGTGGAATAAGAGGTTGGGGAATCCGTCGAACCCCATGAGGGGGAGGAAGGAGGAGTAATCGGAGGAGGAGGACGGATGGGGGAGGAGGAGGGGGAGGGGGAATAGGCGGATGAGGAAGAGGAGGACGAGGAGAAGGCGGAACAGCAGCAGCAGCACTCCGGCCCTTCAAGCCGTTCGATGTCCACTCTGGAAAGAATCCTGGCTCGGGCTGGGGCCGTTAACACGTTGTTAAACCCCGTGTCGTCATTCCACCTTCGGGGCAACCATGCTGCTACACTGAATGCACTTGCTCAAACTCGCATCTGCCGAGAGGGACGACAAGAGGAGGAGCAGAGTCGAGCAGACGAGGGAGGAGGGAGGAACACGTGCACACATGCAGCAGGCTGATAGGCTGGCACGATGGGCCCAACGCGGGCGAGCGGCCGAGGAGGAACTTAGGCCCCCTTCCCTTTGGGTGTCTTCCCACCGTCAAGCTGCCTGGCCACGTTGCCCCGTGGGGCACGACTGCATTTCAGTCTTGCACCTGAGCTACGCACCTGCTTACACACTACTTGCTCCACGCTCACCCACACTCCTTGCATTGTTAACTGCTCACTAGGCACATCAAGAGGGCTGAGCTGCTCATTTGCCAGCATTCCGTCTCCCACCTCATCTTCCTCCTCGGGCTCCTTCAGTAATCCCCCTTTGTCGCGCAGCGATAAGATAATGATATTGAGCTGTTTCTGGCCTGGGCGGTCGCACGTGGGTGCCATGGACATCGATTTGGTACATCCGAAATTTTGGAACAGGGTTATATTCGCCATCATGAGCTGGAGACGCTTGCACGACTCTTTGCCAGACTGAGCTCTGGCTGACGAGTCCACTGGCGACGAGGTCTCGATAGCGTCGAGACATGCGAAAAGGGCTTGGCACGCGGGGCTGACGATCTCTGTGTTGGAATGTTTTCCTTTCTTCCGAGATGTCATGGAAAGTATTCGACGTTGGTTCGCTCAGGGTGCGTTTCCTCTCTACTAGCATGGTGGTGTAGCTCACCTGCTCCAGGCTTCTCACGCGAGCATCGAGCTATATGATGAGCTTGTCTCGTACGCTGTTGCTGCTGCTGCCAGATTCCTCTTCCTTCTCTGATATCTCCTCGTCCGCGTGACCTTTCATCTTCTTCCCCTGCTGCTCAGAGGCGGTCACGAGGCTTTTGCTGCGAGGTATCACCAGTCCTACTGAGTCTGGTGCGGCCTCCATGCGCTTTGATATGAAAGTTCGGCGCCAATAATGAAGAGATGATTGGACAGCAACGCTGCGGAATTCTACCCCTCGAGGCATGCGTGATATTTGCAAGCGTCTGCATCTAGGACCGTACTTACGAATCGACAGCGATTGTACGGGCAGAACTGTCGAACCAGATTCCTCCTGGTATGTTGAAGAGCGACCGTGCGATCTCGAAATGCACTCGAACAAACCGTACGTTGAAGACTATTGGTGCAGATCCGAACGATATGCAGGCTTCCATGCGTTCCACCCAAACTCGAAGCGATATGAGCGATAAGCTGTCTGCGATTTGGCCATCTGGTGAGACATTGCGAACCAACAGGCGTATACACTTTGCGCACGAAATCACCCGTCTCGCCGGACGGTGTAGCCGTGCTGGTGACGGCTGAAGGTTGGCGACGAAAAAAGGCACGCAATTGATTGACATCAAGAGCCTGGAATGTTTCTCCAAGCTCGAGCCAAAGTCGATTACGTCGGAACTCTGCGTCTTCTAGCAGGTCAGCTCCTGGCTCGACACGCCGAGAGCATTGATGTCCTGGCATCTGAACTGCCCAGGGATGCCCTTTCACGACCCTCCTCCCAGCACCTCCCCGTCCACCGCCCAAACACTCAACTCAGCTGCCCAGAATTGCCCATGCCATTCCAAGGCCCCCGATATCATGTGATACCGGCGTGTTCGCCTAAGCCTGAACTCCTGAAACTGGGGCCAAACCCCAAACTCGCGTGACGCATCATCATTATTAGATAGTGTGGGATGTTTCCATCCTCCCATGTATACGTCACCTGGAGTATCACCCTTCCTTTGGCCACGATGAACCCCTCGAGCCCAGCGAGATCTCGGGGAACCAGGGTGCCTGTGCCTTTCGCCCACACCTCAACCTCAGACAACGCTGTACTTGCAAGAAGGCCCTTGACTAGGCTGACTTTCTGCTTCCAGGCTGCAATAGAGTACCAGAACTTACCCACTTAATAAAAGCTCAGACGTAGTGCATGCTGCCTCTTCACCAGATCGGGCACGGGTGAAACGAGCAGCGATTAAGTGTTCGCCGAGATACCTGGCATGATGCTTGGTGGTACTTCCCACAAGCGACTGCCCTCGATGAAGCTGTCGAGCTAGCTCGTATGCACCAGCACCAGTGAGAAACGAGACAGTTTCCTGCTTGCTGGTGTTCTGACTGGCCCCAACCTCTCTCATGCCCTCGACGATAGCTGTATTCTCTGCTGCTCATCCTGCTTCAATAGGTTCTGCTCCTCCTCTTCGTCCGGTTTCTCATATTTTGTGCGACGTCCTCCACGGATCTTGTTAGTGCTCTCTGTCTTATGTCCGTCCCCTCCTCATCCCACTGCAAGCGAGTCTCGACAGCGATGTGCCATCAAGCTCGTCGAAACATGCAGTTGTGTGCTGCAGGATTCGCTGAGAAAACATACGCACGAAAATACGTGTAGTTCCTGTGGCTCCTGGACATGCTCGACTGCTTGGTCTGAGCCAGAAGCACCCTGTCTCATCCTCCAGTCTGAGCACCCCCTCGTGATACGATCTTCGATAAATTTGAGACCCCAGTCGCAGCACAAAGAATCGGTAATCGCAAGAATCGCACTGTGCCTAATCGAGAAAAACGCGTTAATAGCACCGTGGCACCTCATCAAGTAAGAACTTCATGTTTCTACATACGATAGCTACCTGTATCCTGGACTGCCATGGTGGCTTCTCTGGAGAAGGAGGAGGAGGCGGTGGAGGAGGAAAGGAGGAGGAAAGGAGGAGGAGGAGGAGGAGGAGGAGGAGGGCGAGCAGAAAGGCCAGTTGCCTCTTCCTCTCGGAGTTGCTTCGGATGTCTCTCGAGAGCTTCTTGGAGTTCTCTTCGGGCGTCTAGGGGGGCTCTTGGCGGTTCCGGGTGCCTCTTGGTGCGTCTTGGGAGCCTCGGGGAAGCCTCTTGGAGCCTATTGAGACTCTCTTGGGAGCGTCTTGGGGATCCCTTGGGGCCATTTGGGGGGCCTCTTGGAGCCTCCTGGGCGCTTCGCGGGGCCGTCTCGGGGCACCCTTGGGAGCCTCGGGAGCCATCTTGGGGCCACCGTGGAGGAGATCGATCAAAGGAGGGGGGCTCCTTAATTAGGCCGACCCCTCCCCCTCAGCAGCTCCAAATGTGGCCCAAACCTTAGTAACATCAAGAATATTGGCTTCCTCACCGAGGCCATCCTGGACGCTCCAACGACCCGCGAACCCCCCCTCCAGGCCCAGAGGGAGTGGGTAGGGGGAGGGTTGAGCCCCTCCACGAAGGAGAAGAGGGAAGATTGAAGAAGAAACTCGCTAAACCACTCAACCCCTACGTGACTGGTGGGATCTCCCCCCTCCCCTGTACGTATCTATGATTCCTCGCCCCCCATCATCCCTGCCAGTATCCTCATTCTCCTCCACGTCTTCGTCCTTCCCGTGTGTCAGGCCATTCCCCTCCTCCTTTCCTCGACACGCTGTCGGGCCGATCTGGCCCGCAGCGTCAGAGTCGCGGCCCGCCTCCTGCAGCAGGACCGCGCCGTGCAGGGTCGGCAAGACAGCCCCGACGAAGTCCCGAGCACGGCACGCGGCGCAGCGAGGAGACGGTTGCCCGAGAGATTCGGGACGAGCAGCGCAGAGCACGACCCGGCCGCTCTCCTCCTCCTGCTGCTGCTCCTGCTCTTGTTGCTCCCCCGCCAGTCTCCGCGGCCTCCTCCTCCCTCCGTTCCCGCCGCCCACCCACACTCTTCCCGGACCCTCCCCTGCTCCTCCCCCACGGACGACGTCCCCCTGTCCATCCGCTGTTCCTGGGCGGGCCCTCGGCCAACGAAGCTGTCCATAAAGGAGGGTCCAAACGTACCTCCACGGTTTTTACGCCATTACCAAATACACCAGTCAACCAATTGCTCATCTTCCTCCCCGCTTCCCAGCAGGAAGAAAGAAGCGAAACACAAACAACGGCATCACCGCAAACTTTGGGCAGTCCGTGCGGACCTCTTGGATCTGCGCTGGCACTCCCCGGCGCCGCCTCCAGCGCCGCCCCTGGCGCGCTCCGCGCGCCAGGGAGGGGGGGTCCAGCACAGATCGAAGACATCCGCGCGCACCGTCAAGAGTTGCTGATGCCTGTGCCGCTCCTTGTTCTTCGAGAAGCAGCGGGGGGGGGGCGGTCGCGGGAGGAGCGGCCCCCGCGCGGTCGCAGGGCGCGCCGCACCCCCAGGTGGGCTCGCTGTCCGACCCGAGCTCCAGCCTCCTGGGGTGACCCGCAGGAGCCTCGCCGCCCGGGGCCGCGCTTCGGGCCTCCCCTGTTCGGGAGCGGAGGAGGCCACGCGCAGAGGGGTGCCGGCTTCGCAGGGGGAGGCTGCTTCATGGAAGGCGCGGTCCTCCTCTGTGGGTGTGCTGCGCGCGCCTTCTAAGAAGCAGCCTCCTTCTGAGAAGCCTTCCCGCCTCCCCCTGCCCCCTCTGTGTGCGCCGCCAGCATGCCGTACACGTACGGTCGGACCGACGTATAATTATGTCGAGGTCGGTTCGAGGAGGGCACCCTGATGTTGTTCTTGTCTGCTGGATGTTCTTGTGCACCCTTGGGAAGGGTATCCTCGAATGTTTTTTCATTTCGGCCAGCGGAGGGTCACATGTCTTTGAAGGATAGTAGTATGTCTTAGGTCCGGCCGTACATGAATCCACGTTGGTTTCGAACATACGCATGGCTCAAACGTTCGTATCTCAAGGCTGGTCTCGCGGACTTCTCAGAGGAGGAAAAGGTACCCTAGAAAGGTCTCTAGAACCCCCCAAGAAGGTGTAGTTCATTATTTTCTCGGCGGCCTTGATCGCGAATCTGTGTTCCACCAAGAGAGGGAGACTATGTGTTGTTCCCGCGGCGCCCGCCAGCAGCGCTCTCACAGAAAATCTTCGTTCAGAAACTTGGCCTTCAGAAGCTTTATGCTGACAGCTCCATCCTGAGAAGGACCGATGAAGCTCAGGCCCTGCGCGGGCCCTCCACAATCCACATTTACAGCTTCGTCGTCGGCGACGCGGGCGCCGACGACGAAGCTGCAAATGTAGATTGTAGAAGCACTGGCCTGAGTTGCAACCCCACTGCAAGCAATGAGATATCACGCGACTGATTGTGAGAACGGGTCTCGGCGACGAATGCGATCTATATTGCAATGCCTTTGCACATGTACGCCACTGACTGTGAGAACCAGCCTCTGCGACGAATGCGATCTGTATTGCAATCCTTTTGCAAATGTGCCCAAAATTCCTCCGTCGCGCAGGGTAGCCCAGGGGGCAATATTCGCCGAAGGAAAGAAACCCAATATTGTCCAGCACGACGAACAATCATGGGACATTAATTGGCGGACGGCGTTGCAGGCGCCGACGCTGAAGATGCGCGCGTGCATTGAAAATGTATGTACGCATATCTATAGATACACATATGCATATGTATATATATATATATATATCTATATATATGTGTTCCAGCGCACGGTGCAATCCTCGTACACACACGACGAGATGAAGGAGGGGATGACGAGCAACGCCTTTGGCAAGTAGTACTTTGATTAATGTCGCAAGCCTCTTATAAACGTGCTCAGACTTCCTCTGTCGCGCAGGATTGCCCAGAGAGCAGTATTCACTGGGAGAACAGCCCCCCCGACATGATCCTGCCCCGCCAACAACACAGGGAAACTAATCGATGGGCCGCGCCGCAAGCGCTGACGCTGAAGAGGCACATGTCTTGTATACACGTAGCTCAGGGAGCCTTGGTCGCCGAAAGAAGGACCCCCAAACATTACCCAGCACGGCGAACAATCGTAGGAAAATAGTCGGCGGGCCGTGTCGCGGGCGCAGACGCTGGAGATGCGCATGCAGCTCAAACACATATACAACCGCAGTGTGCAAACTTCTTACACACACGACGAGATGACGGAGGATATCGCCAGCAGCGCGCTGGACGACGAATGCGTGGATCTGTTTCGCAATCTTTCTTACACACGCGCAGGGTAGCCCAGGGATCGTTATCACCTGGGAGAAAGAATTCCCCGACATTATCCTGCTCACCCAATCATAGAGGGAAGTTAATTCGCGCCACCCGCGGCCTCGGCGCCAGGCCCCATGCTCAGGCTGCGCTGGCTTAGGCGCCTCAAGAGAGCCTCAAGGCTTCAGCTTTGAGCCGCAATGGCTACACCTCATTGCACTCTCACACGCCAGGGTCTGGTCCTTACGAGGGCCCCCCGCTCTTTATCTTCTCATTTTGCCTCTTCTCCTCTTCCTTATCCTCCTCCTCTTCCTCCTCCTCCTCTCCTCCAACTCCTTCCTCGTCCTCCTCCCCCGCAATTCCGATTGCAATCCTCATGAGGAGATGCTTTCAAATCCTCGAGCGCGCAGGGTAGCCAACAATTGATTATTCCATTTGAGAAATAACCCTGAACCCGCCTAACAGTAGAGGAAAATTGATCCAACGCCGCCGCGCGCGCCGACCAAGCGCCGGCAGGAGTTCTGCCGGCGGTGCTAGGCAGGCGAGTTTGAGCATGGTCGCGGGTCAAAACGAAGCGCACTTGCATTGCAATCTTCATCAGGAGATGCATCCAAATCCTCCCGCGCGCAGGGTCACCCACAATGGATTTTCCGGTGGAGAAATGCCCAACAATGCAGGGCAACTAATCCAACGTCGCCGCGCGCGCTGGCCAGGCGCCAGTCGGAGTTTTCTCTGCAGTGCTAGGCGGGCGAGTTTGTGACAACTCCCGGATCAAAGCGAAGCATATTCCTATTGCGGTCCTGATGGGAGGACACTCGCATATCTTCTTCACATGAGACCTGGCGACTTATCTATTTTGAAGACGTCGAAAAAACATATTAGTTTTAGAATCAAATTGGTCACCGTGAACCTTTGATTTTAGTTCCGGGGCCAACATGGCGACTTCAAAATTAAGTCGGTCACCTCTAAGGGTTCAATTTAATTTCCAGGCCAACATGACGACTACCCTATTCTTGGACACGATGACATAAAAAAAACGCATGCTCACTGAAAACTCCAATCGGCCACCGCTCAGGATTCACTGTAGACTCCAGGCCAACATGGCCATGCTTCCATTGTGGACGACACAAAACTCGCCACGCTCGCGCGCGCCCCCGCGCGTCCGCGCGCGTAGCGAGGTCTGTGTTGACGATAATGGAAGTATCGCCATGTTGGCTTGGAAACTTAGAGTGAACCCTCAACAGTGACCAGCTGGATTTCGGGCGACCCGCCCGCGCGTGGGTCACCCGATCGCGCGCGCGACCGCGCGCGTGGCGAATTCTGTAATGTCCACAATGGGAAAGTCGCCGTGTCGGCCTGGAAACTACAGCGAACCCTTAACAGTGATTAACCAGATCTCTGGTGACCCGCTCGCCCGTGGGTCACCTGATCGCGCGCGCAGTTTTATTATCGCCGAGAGAACGGGGAGGGGTAACCAAATCGAGCAACCTTCCTAGGTTACCCATGCCGCTACCTTTGCCTCGTTGTCAGTTTTTGTTGGGCCTCCTGGGCGGCCCTCGTCGCCACCGCTGGATTCGTTACGAAATTCTGGTCATAACGCTCATCAGGAGAGGTCCGGGCAGTCGCTGTATCGGCAGTTTTTGGTTTCCCAACCGGCGGGCCGTGTTTATGTGCGTGGTTGGGCGCGCACGCCCTCTGCGGGCTGCCTGTTGACGCCAGGCGCTGGCAGGAGCGACCTTCCAAGAGCAGCGTTTCGGTGAGGTTCGAAGTATTCGGGCGTTTCCGTCGCATTTCGGCGGTCTTGCAGCCTTGGGGGCGCTCTCCAGCAGTTGCGCCTCGCCGAGAGCGTTCTGGGAGTGTGCCCGGATCGTCCCGAACGGCTGCCCACCCAGGACGGGGATAGGGGATACAGTCCGGTCGTTGAAAGTAAGTATTTTTCTGGATGCCCAGGTTCCAATATTTCCTTTGCACCTTCCTACTTCAAGAGTCGAGTGGTATTCATTCTGCACACGTCCTCAGGGGGCGGGCGGAAACCCAATCTACTTTCAACGCTTTCCTGCTTCATGTTTCTACCCACCTCTTCTGACCGACGGGTATGCTCAGGGTGGACGCATCGATTCCCAGTCGCCCATGGTTCGCCGAAGGGAGCCCGATAGTCCACTGCACCCGGGGCCAGTCGGATTCGCTATCGTGGGCCCATCGCCGATCTTGCCGGCGATGCATGACCGATTCCCAGTCGAGGCTTCCCTCCCTGAGCCGGTCGCACCCCCACGTCCATGGTGGGGCGCTTGAGCAGGCGCGGCCGCCGCCGCCACCGTCGTCGCCGTCGCCGTCGCCGTCGTTGTCGTCGCCGTCGCCGTCGCCGTCACCGTCGTTGTCGTCGTCGTCGCCGTCGTCGTCGTCGTTGACGTCGCCGTCGCCGTCATCGTCGTCGTCGTCGTTGCCGTCGTCGGCGTCGTCGTCGTCGTCGTCGTTGTCGTCGTCGTTGACGTCGTCGCCGTCGCCGTCGCCGTCGTCGTCATCGTCGTTTCCCCTCAGCCTTGTCCTGGGGTGTCCCTTTCAGAGAGGCCTCGATTTCCGAGTGCCGGCCAGCGCGACCCGCGAGCACACACCGCGAGTTATCTTTTCAGTCTGGGCGCTCTTTTCGTAGATTTTTCGGCCTCTGTGGGGCCGCTTCCGGGTGCCCCGGGGGCCATCAGAAGGAGAGTATTGTTTTACTCTCTGGGCCATGACGCGGCCCCCCTCTACCTCCCACTCCCCACCCCCCATAACGTAACCCTCCTCCCCGCCCAGTGCGTCCCCAGCACTGCTGCAGAGCGTTGCTCACGGCCGGGGGCGCGGCGTTACGTTATGCGTCCCGCCCCCCCTCCCCCAACCCATCACGCCCGTATCGCCGCGAATTCAAAAATGCATTCAAGTGAATCTTGGGCGAAGGGCTATAGCCCCTGAGAAGGGGTCCAGGAGGCTCGGGGCCGCGGACGGAAAGAAAGCCATGCCAGAGGATAGCTGGGGTGCAATGGAAACCCATGCCCAGAGGCACCTCGCTTGCCCCCAGGCTGCCATGGATTTCTGGGGTTTCGATGGCTTTCGTATGGACGGCGTGACGCTTCCATACCAACAGTGACTGGACATCCTGGGGTTCCAGGCTTAGGCTTCTTGTGGAAGGTTTCTTGTGGTCGAGCTCCTACTGTATGCCTCCGCGTGAGCCCGAGAGGCTGCCCCACGACATCGGTTCACACCGCCCACGCCATGCGAAGCCTCCTGCACGGCCGCCAAGCGAGCCC